TTGTGGCCATGGCCCCCAAGCCCGCAGGTGGAGAGAGAATCTTGGGCATGCTCCCCACAATCCCCAAGACGTGGGCCAAGGTCCGCTCCAGTGCAACCGACGAGTGGTCCAGGGAGCTCGGGGAGTTCTGGGACACCGCCATCAAAGGCTCCAGCGCCTTAAGGGCAGCGCTAGTCGGGGCGCTCCTTGACGAGACGGCGGCGACCTTTGGCGTTGCCTTCGCGACCTTGCTGATGGACGTAGAGAAGTTCTACGACTCGGTCTGCTACGAGGCCCTCTTCGACGCCGCGATCGGGGTCAACTTCCCCCCGATTGTCGTGGCGATGGAGGTGCAGCTCTACCTGGCGCCCAGGTACTTGCGGATGCACGGCTGGGTCAGCGACATCATAGAGGCCGAGAGGTCCATAGTCGCGGGCAGCTGCAATGGCGGCAAGCTCGCCAAGGTCTACCTGGGGCCGATCCTGCAGAGGGCCCACGCCAACCACACGCACGCTGGCCTGTGGGCGTTCGTGGACGACACGGTCGCGAGGACAGAGGGCCAAACCAAGCAGGTCATCGGAGATCTCATCGGGGTTTGCGCCGACCTATTCGAAGGTATGACGGGTGCGGGGCTCAGGGTCTCCCCCAAGACCACCGTCGTCGCCTCCAGCCAGACGATTGCCTACGCAGTGCACGGCGGTCTCAAGAAGAAGGGCTACCACGTCAAGGTGGCCAACAGCGCGGTCGACCTTGGCATCGACGTGGGCGGCGCCAAGAGACGGGTTGTCGCCAAGGCAATCAAGAGGGCCAGGACCGCGAGGATGCGCACTTACCGCATCGTGGCCAAGGTCAGGAAGCACGCCTCCCTCGCCAAGATCGCGAAGGGCTCGTGGAACACGGGATCCAGGCCGCAGGGGACCTACGGCCACCAGATCATGGGCTTCGCCCCAGCGGCCTTCCTCGACCAGAGGCGCCAGGCCGTCCAGGCCACGGCGGGGAAGGTCCCTGGCCGCTGCCTCTCTACAGGCCTCGCCGTCGTCATGGGGAAGAAGGACCCCGCGATCGAGCTCAGGCGCCAGTCGATCGCTGAGTGGCTCAACTTCTGGATGCAGTACCCAGAACACCACAGTCGGGTCACGCAGGCGTGGAAGCGGATATACGACAAGTCGATCAAGTACGGCAACAAGAAGGGGAGGAAGGTCAAGGGGCCCATCTCCGCCATCCAGGCCATCCTCCTGGACGCAGGCTGGACCTTTCCGACGCCGACGGAGTGGTCGCGACCCCCGTGGGCAGGCGAGACCTACACCCAGGAGTGGCAGCTACCCCACAGTGGCCAAGCCGACTGGGAGGACAAGCGCAACGACGTGGACCATGCGGAGTTCGTCCACGAGTTCTGCCTGTCCCTCGAGAGGAGCCTGTGGAGGGATGCTTCCAAACACCCACATGGAGAAGGACTGCAACGAGGGGGCCCAGACGTCCACATAGTTGCCAACGAGACGGAGAAGTTCACGAGGAAGGGCCAGTACGACCAGGCGGCCCTCAACCTCTGCGTGGTCGCGGGGGCGCAATGGCCCAGAAGCCGGCTCATCGAGGCGGGGCGCGACGCTACTCCAACGTGTCCTAGGTGCGGTGGGGCCGACGAGACGCTCATGCACAGGGTCTGGCTGTGCCCGTGCAACCGCGACCACGAGGACTACACGGATTCTGACGCCCTCATGCCTTCTGCCCTGGCGGGAGCAGAGGCTGCCCCCGCATGCTGGCTCCGCGGCCTGCCTGCGCGCGATGACGCGCACCCGCTCTTTGCATCGTTGGGAGGGGGCGGCGGGTGGAGCTGGGTTGGGCGAAATTGGGAGGATTGCGTCAGCAGCGGCGGCACCCTCGCCCTCTTCGGGGACGGCTCGGGAGGTCAGTACATTGACGACCCACGACGCCGAAGAGTGGGGACCGCCTGTGCCGCCATGAAGTGCCTCTTCGGGGAGTGGGCCCCCTGGGGAGGCATCGTTTCGGGCCTCGAGGGCCCCGTTCAGACTGTGCCTCGTGCTGAGCTGCTGGCCTTCGCGCTTGCCCTTGAGCACTGGGACGGTGACCTCTGCTTTATCACAGACCACCTCCCGTTATATGACGGATGGCGGTCGAATCGACACTTGCGCCCCCGCGATGGCGCCACTCAGGATTTGTGGGCACGTATTGCAAAAGCAATTCGCGCACGTGGTAGTAGGCAGCTCTCGGTGATCTGGGTGCCCTCACACAGCGAGGAGTCACCTGGCCTCGCCTCTGACCCTGTGCGCTACTTTCACACCATCGGTAATGCGACGGCCCATGCATGGGCAGGGGTAGCGGCCCAACGGTCCCACGAGGCAGCGCTCGTTGGACAGGCCCCTCCCACGGACCTGCACGATGCCCAGTGCACCCTCATCCGCAGGAGGGCGCGCCGAGCCCTAGCTGACACGCTTGCAGTCGACCCCTGGGTGGCGGAGCGACCCTCGCAGGCCAAAGGCCCGCGTCTCACCAAGCTGCAGCTGGCCATGCGATCGAGCCAACACGCCTTTGAGCAAAGAGCGGGCAAGTATCTCTGCTCTCGGTGCGGGCTCACCACTGACAAGTGTAAAGTACGCCAGGCCTGTGCCGCGCCGTGCGCCCACCAGACCCCCCTTCCGTCCGCCAGCGACCAGATAGTGCCAGTGCAGGACACCATCGCCATCGCTGGCCGCGAGCTACACGCCAGCCATAAGCTTCATTTCATGCAGACGTATCGCCTGTATTTATGTCGCGGGTGCGGCAAGACGGCCACTGAGGACTCACGCCACCTCGCCGCACCCTGCGCGGGCGTTGTTTCTAAGAAAGGGCGAGAGAACCTCGCTAAGATTGACGGGGGAGAATTCACTCGCGCCCACGCGGGGCGGGACGGCCTCACCAAGTTTCTGCGCGCAGCTACCCACGGCATGGCCGTGGAAGAAATTATAGCTGCCGCTGCGCCTGCCGCTGCAGGCGCCATTCCTGGCCAGGGCTGGCATGCGTTTGGCATCGCCCGAACTTCGCGCCTGGGTGCGCTCGGTCTGTTCCTCTGTTCTTCCTCCTCCTCCTCCTCCTCCTCTTCCCCCCCCTCCGTCCGCCCAGTGGCGAGAGAAATGACAGAGGCAGGCAAAGTAGAGTTGGGGGAGGAAGAGGAAGCGGAACGCACCAACCCTTCGGTTTCATTGGCTCAAGTTCGCCTTTGTTGGCTCCAGCACAGATGGGCGAACTTGAGCCAAACCCCACTCCGCCGTGCTTCCCAGGACCCCGCCCCTCCAAGTCTCCCAGGAGCCCACGCAAGTGGCGACACTTGCGGGTAATGCCTGCATTGGGTGTGCGTGGGACCCCACTCCGTTGGGCCTCCCATTAGCCCATGGAAGTGGCGACCGCTCCGCAGTTCGCAGCCGACAGGGGTAGGGTATGAGAGAAGCAGGTCGGAAGGCCAGGATGAGGGAGGAGGAGGAGGAGGATGATAAGGATGAGGATGAGGAGGAGGAGGAGGAGGAGGAGGAGGACCAGTTGAAACCCAAGAGTCATCAACGATGTTGGAATTCACCCTCCCTCCCAGCTCCCTCTCCATAGGCCCCTACAGCGGTTCATTTCCATTGAGGGAGCTGCCTCGTTGGAAGACAACAGTTGGGAGATCCTGAAGCGTGCCAAAACATTGTTCTCGGGATTTCAACGCCGCGCATCAACGTGACCGCTGCGTCTTGACATCCAGAATTGTGCCAGAACGCCATTTTTGGGACTTCACCACAGCGAATCAACATAATTGTTGCGCCCGCATAATCCAGAATCCTTCCAGAACGCCATTTCTGGTGCGTTGACGCGAAACTCTGGCAAATCTAAATATCGAATGTGCGCGGCGCTAAGGCGAAAACCACATTTTGAAAAGGAACCGCCCTCAATCCGTGAAATTTTTGCATTTTCGAAAACGAATGCGCGCGGCGCTAAGGCGAGAGCCACAGTTTGAAAACCACCCGCTCTCAATCCGTGAAAATGTTGCAAATGTTTAAGACACTTGTGCGCGGTGCTAAGGCGAGAGCCACATTTTTAAAACGACCCGCCCTCAATCCGTGAAGTTCACGCAAAATTTTAAAATGACTGCGCGCAGCGCTAAGGCGAGAGCCACATTTTGAAAACGACCCGCCCTCCATCCGCAAAACTGCTGCCACTTTTTAAGCTCCAGAGTCATAAGTGGTCGGGAAGTCTCAGGCGAAACGCCCAGCCCGCCCTAAAACTGGCCTCGGGGTGCGACAGGGAGGAATTATCTATAAGGAGGAGGAATGAAAGAGGAGGAGGAGGAGGAGGAGGAGGAGGAAGAGGAGGAGGAGGAGAGGAGGAGGAGGAGGAGGGATGAGGAGGATGAGGGAGGAGGAGGGGAGGAGAGGAGGAGGAGGAGGAGGAGGAAGGAGGAGGAGGAGGAGGAGGAGGAGGGAGGAGGGAGGAGGAGGAGGAGGAGGAGGAGAGGAGGAGGAGGAGGAGGAGGAGGAGGAGGGAGGAGGGAGGAGGGAGGAGGGAGGAGGGAGGAGGAGGGAGGAGGAGGGAGGAGGAGGAGGAGGAGGAGCCCAGGGGACACGACCCGCGGGAAGCCCCAGGGGTCACGTGGGAAACCCCGGGAGAAATCGGAATTTGGGCTCCGCGGCCACATAGAGATTTCTCATCAGTAAGGATGGAGGCGTCGAGGATTAGGCAATGGACCTGAGAACACGCCCAATCCGTGTCCAGATGCACAGTGGCGGATCGGTCTATTCTTGCCCGTCGTGCGTCTCCGCTCGCTCGGCGTTCTTGCTACTTCGTCAACGCCTGTTCCAGTGTGGGTGCGGCTACGCATGCAGCTGTGAGCGTGTCCCGTACTGGTGTTGGTGTCAATGTCCAGGCCTCCACTACGATGGGTTCCCCAGGGGGGTACGGAACACAGTTCCCCCAGTCGAACCTCTGAGGTGGGACGGACGGGCGGCGAGAACACGGGAGAAGAGGCGCAGTGTCGGAGGGGTCGGGCTGGCAAGGCCCCACCTCTTCGTCGACGAGGCCCACAGGAGGCGACTGGAGGCTGTCCTCAAGCAGGCCGGCGCAAGCCGCTCCACGGCGCCCGCAGGGAGGAGGAGGAGGAGGAGGAGGAGGAGGAGGAGGAGGAGGAGGAGGAGGAGGAGGAGGAGGAGGAGAAGTTGTGCTTTGGGTGGGAAGGGCGCGCGTCGCACCCTTTCGATCATATTCAATATCCATGAAGGCCGGTCTGATCCGATTCCGATTTTCGGGCGATTCGATCTTGCCCGATGCTTGCACGGGGCTGTTGCACATCCTGGATCAGCCGATTTGGTTCGATCTCGGCACCGTTCCGATGCGGCCCGACCCGACGCACGTTCCTATCCGATCCGGTTTCCCGATTCGATGCTGACTGATCTTGCATGCTTCAGGGGCAACGTCAGTGGGGGACAGGCGCGGGGGGATGCCTCGACCAGGGCTGAACCTGACCGACGTTTTCCGTTTTCGTTTTGTCTTTCCTTCTCGTTTTGCCTTCGCTTCGCCTTGAGAATGCAGAACATAACGAAAAACAAAACGGCTCACGAGATGGCCGACGCGCCGTTGAGGTCCAGCCCTGGCATCGACCCCCAATTGCCCATTCATCTCCGATATCGGGCGAAGAGAATTATGCACATGCGCCGATCCTGGCAAGGCCCATCCTTGACCCAGGATCGGTGCATGTGCTGTCCTGGCCATGGTAGGCGGGCGTATGCACCGATCCTGGGCTCAGGATGGGCCTGGCCAGAATCGGTGTATGTGCACAGTTCTCTTTCCTCCGCAATTGCCCAGTCATCTCCAATAGGGGCCCGATGGCGCGCCCCGCCCAGAAAACGGAGCGTACTGTTTCGCTGCCTGGGGGCCTCTGGCCGACCTAACGTCAGGTCGGGCATGTCCTCCTACAGGTGGATCATGGACGGAAAATGCAAAATAGTCGAAACATATTCCAAACATAATCAAAGTAGTCATCAAATCGTCCCGAGATTTTTACCTAACAGCGAAGACTGATAGGTTTCTAGTAGGGTCAAAAGAGAGCACCATGACGCCCCAGGGGGGTCTGGGCGCGATCCGGGGGAATGCCGGGGACTCCTTTTTTAGCGAACAGTAACGCACTTCGTGGTCTTCGAGTTCCCAGAACTCCATTCCTGGGCATGATTTTGAATGCCCGGAGCCAACTGTAGGCCACTTCGTGTTCTTCGAGTTCCAAGAACTCCATTCCTGGGCATGATTTTGAATGCCCGGAGCCAACTGTAGGCCACTTCGTGGTCTTCGAGTTCCCAGAACTCCATTCCAGGGCATGATTTTGAATGCCCGGAGCCAACTGTAGGCCACTTCGTGTTCTTCGAGTTCCCAGAACTCCATTCCCGGGCCACATTTTGAATGCTGAGGCAGGCTGATGCTGAGGCTGAGGCAGGCTGAGGATGAGGCAGGCTGAGGCTGAGGCCGAGGCTGAAGGCAGACTGAGGCTGAGGCTGAAGCAGGCTGAGGCTGAGGCTGAGGCAGGCTGAGGCTGAGGCTGAGGCAGGCTGATGCTGAGGCAGGCTGAGGCTGAGGCTGAGGCTGATGCAGGCTGAGGCTGAGGCAGGCTGAGGCTGAGGCCGAGGCTGAAGGCAGACTGAGGCTGAGGCTGAAGCAGGCTGAGGCTGAGGCTGAGGCAGGCTGAGGCTGAGGCTGAGGCAGGCTGATGCTGAGGGCTGAGGCTGAGGCTGAGGCTGAAGCAGGCTGAGGCTGAGGCAGGCTGAGGCTGAGGCCGAGGCTGAAGGCAGACTGAGGCTGAGGCTGAAGCAGGCTGAGGCTGAGGCTGAGGCAGGCTGAGGCTGAGGCTGAGGCAGGCTGATGCTGAGGCAGGCTGAGGCTGAGGCTGAGGCTGATGCAGGCTGAGGCTGAGGCAGGCTGAGGCTGAGGCCGAGGCTGAAGGCAGACTGAGGCTGAGGCTGAAGCAGGCTGAGGCTGAGGCTGAGGCAGGCTGAGGCTGAGGCTGAGGCAGGCTGATGCTGAGGCAGGCTGAGGCTGAGGCTGAGGCTGATGCAGGCTGAGGCTGAGCAGGCTGAGGCTGAGGCCGAGGCCAGGCTGAGGCTGAGGCTGAAGCAGGCTGAGGCTGAGGCAGAGGCAGGCCGAGGCTGAAGGCAGAGGCATGAGGCTGAGGCTGAGGCTGAGCAGGCTGCAGGCTGATGCTGAGCTGAGGCTGAGGCTGAGGCTGAGGCTGAGGCTGAGGCAGGCTGATGCTGAGGCAGGCTGAGGCTGAGGCTGAGGCTGATGCAGGCTGAGGCTGAGGCAGGCTGAGGCTGAGGCCGAGGCTGAAGGCAGACTGAGGCTGAGGCTGAAGCAGGGTGAGGCTGAGGCTGAGGCAGGCTGAGGCTGAGGCAGGCTGAGGCTGAGGCTGAGGCAGGCTGATGCTGAGGCAGGCTGAGGCTGAGGCTGAGGCTGAGGCAGGCTGAGGCTGAGGCCGAGGCTGAAGGCAGACTGAGGCTGAGGCTGAAGCAGGCTGAGGCTGAGGCTAAGGCAGGCTGAGGCTGAGGCTGAGGCAGGCTGATGCTGAGGCAGGCTGAGGCTGAGGCTGAGGCTGATGCAGGCTGAGGCTGAGGCAGGCTGGGGCTGAGGCCGAGGCTGAAGGCAGACTGAGGCTGAGGCTGAAGCAGGCTGAGGCTGAGGCTGAGGCAGGCTGAGGCTGAGGTTTGAGGAACTCCACGAGGTCTAGAAGGCTGAGGCAGCTGAGGCTGCGAGGGCTGAAGGCAGATTGAGGCTGAGGCTGAAGGAGGCTGAGGATGAGGGCAGACTGCGGTGAGGTGTGATGCCTGAAGTAGCGGATGGCTGAAGGCAGGCTGAGTGTGAGGCGGAGGCCAGGCTGGAGGCTTGTGGCGAGGCAGGCTGAGGCTGAGGATGAGGCTGAGGCAGGCTCAGGCTGAGGCAGGCTTGAGGCCTGAGGCCGAGGCTGACAGGCACAGTCCAGAATGAGGCCTGAGGGCTGAAGCAGGCTGAGGCTGTGGTAAAGCAGGCTGAGGCTGAGGATGAGGCTGAGGTTGAGTCTGAGGCTGAGGCTGAGGCAGGCTGAGGCAGACGCTGAGGCAGGCTGATGCTGAGGCAGGCTGAGGCTGAGGCTGAGGCTGATGCAGGCTGAGGCTGAGGCAGGCGGAGGCTGAGGCTGAGGCTGAAGGCAGAGGCAGGCTGAGGCTGAAGCAGGCTGAGGCTGAGGCTGAGGCAGGATTTCTTGTGAGCAGCTGAGGCTGACAGGCTGAGATGAGGCTGAGGGGCAGGGTGAGTGCTCGGCCAGGCTGAGGGCTGAGCTCGAGCTGGAAGGGCAGACTGGTGTTGAGGCTGAAGCGGATGTGGTTGAGGCAGGCTGGAGGTCTGAGGCAGGCTTGAGGCTGAGGCAGCTGTGAGCTGAGGCAGGCTGAGGCTGGCCGGTGACGGCTGTGACTGCGACTGCAGTTGCCACTGCGACTGCCATCGCGAGTGCGACTACGACTGCGAGAACAGCAGAATTCTACAACAGGATTCTCATCTGAATTTTAAGGGGAATGCTTCCAGATATGCTCCTACACATCGCTGTCAGGTTGCTTTGCCGGGATAACTGAATATTCCTCCTGTAGAGGGACAGGCCCGACCTAAACCTAAAGGCGCTGTGTCGCCGACTCCAGTTCAGTGCCTTCCCTGAGCCAGTCCCCCCCCCGAACGTTATCCCTCAATGTTGTCGCGCGTGCCAGCGCGCGCGGAAGCGTGCACCGGATCGATCCGCCGCACGTCCCGCTCCGACGCACTTCCTGATTCGGCCCGAGCTCCCGATACGGCGCACCCTCCGACCCGCTACGATGGCCTGCTCCGATGCTGACCGATCCCGCATGCTGCCGGCGCGTGCCGGTCCGCGCGCTCCTGTCCGATCCCACTTCTGGGTCCGCAGCACAACGCAACTCATCGTCCGCCCGAGCAGCTTTGGGAGCGCCTCGCCCCTGAGGCGGACATACAGAATGACTACATTCACATGCGAAGCAAACGCGCCCTCCAAAATCACGATCCTGCACCCTCCCACCTCCCACTCGTTCAAAAATGACGTTTCTGCACGCCGTCGCGCGCACCAGCACGCGCTATCTTGCCCGCCTTCTGGAGGCCTCCTGGGTTACTTCTGGGGGCCTCTGGGGGATACCCGGGGCCACCCTGCTTCCAACCGCGGTCTCTCTGAACGACTGGGTCACGATTTGAGGCGATTCGGGCTGCGTCGTGGGGCCAATTTGGGAAAGTGCGCCAGTGGATCTCCCTGAACACACTAAAGGGGGGGGTCCAGAACCCCCCCCCCCTCCCCCCTTAAGGGGGGGGGGGGCTCTCGACCCCCCCCGCCCTCGTGTAGGTAGTACGGAGTTGGGAGTAGGGAGTGGTGAGTAGTGAGTAGTGAGTTAGTGCGTAGTGAGTACTCCAGATTTCGTAATAAAAGGGAGGGGGTCTGGACCCTCCAAGACAAGCCATTTCAGACCTCTCCCGTGGGAGAACCCTCCAAAACATCGTCCCCAGACCCCCCAGGCCCTCCAAGATAGCCTGGAAGAGACCCCCGCCCGAAATGAGACCCCCCTCCCTTTATTACGAAATCTGGAAGAGTGAGTATTGGGTAGTGAGTAGTGGGTTGTGACTGGCGAGTAGGGAGTAGGGAGTAGGGAGGGGGGAGTAGTGAGTAGTGAGTAGTGAGTAGTGAGTAGTGTGTACTGATAAGTGAGTAGTGAGTGGCGAGTAGTGAGTAGAAAGTAATGAGTAGCGAGTAGCAAGTAGTGAGTACTGAGTAGGGAGTAGGGAGTAATGTGTAGTGGGTAGTGAGTAGTGGGTGGGGAGTAGTGATGAGTGATTAGTGAGTAGTGGGTAGAGCGTAGTGCGTAGTGAGTAGTGAGTAGTGAGTAGTGAGTAGTGAGTAGTGAGTAGTGAGTAGTGGGTAGTGGGTACTGAACAGTGAGTAGTGAGTAGCGAGTAGTGAGTAGTGAGTAGTGAGTAGTGAGTACTGAGTAGTACGTAGTGAGTAGTGAGTAGTGAGTAGTGGTGAATAGAGAGTAGTGGGTAGTGGCAGT